TACTCCAAAATAACACCTTCAAGAAATCTGCAATAAATATGTGCCGTTGTCATATGAAATTATGCCTAAATCATCAAAAGACTAACAATCCCATCGTTTGGCCAAACAACATATTCGTAAAAGAAAAAAATTATGAATAAAACTTTTATATACGTGCTCTTAGTGATGTAAAAGTAAAGATTGAAAAATAAACTATGATGAAAAAACCCCAAAATCAACTCTAAATTTAAGGCTGAAAATTTAAATTTTAGCTAATAAGCATAAACATAAGTGAAAAGATGACACCACACCTCAATGAGGAAACGGCAAACAAGTGCCAACGTGGATTCAGAATTTTCTCCCCTAGGTCCTTTTCTACTACTAGTACTCCATAGATACCTCTGTCTGATAGATGAGCTCGGGAGAAGCAAAGGTCCTCGACGATTGCTGCCCAACAAAAATAGCCAAGGCAATCCACTCACAGTTGGTCACTATACTACAGAATCGACTTTGGTTGTCACCGACGAATCATCGTGATCTCATGGTAGTCACCACCCACTTGCGACGCGTTGCCAGGTTTCGACTCTCACTCTCTCATCCTGCTTGTCCCATGGTTTCTTTGGAAAGAGCATAATGCTCTTGTCTTTGACAACACCTTGTGTTTGGAAAGAGTGTAATGTGCGTGTCTTCTACAACATCTTGTGTCCGGTAGACAGAGTAGTTGATTGCATGTTGCAAGAGGGGCGCCAATGGCTCCGCGCGGGTTTGGGTAGTTTGGAGGTTTGGTTGGGAGATTAGTAACTTTTGTTTTCCCTTTCTTCTTCTGCTACTCTTAGCTTGGGTGCCCATTTCATGTAGTACGCACCAGCATTTGTGTCTTCTCCTTCATTCCTTGCTCTTTTGCGATAGCCTATGTTGTTGTCTGCATTGCGAACTTTGCCTACTTCCTTCTAATATATTGAAAACAAATAGTAGTCACCACCCGTATAGCGGCCATACACCGTCTAATCGCCAATTCTAAGACCAAACATTACCAAAGAGCATCCATTGTCGATGAAGATATGATCTCTTCTATTCGTCTCCATTGGGCGAATGGAAGAAGGTTGACCTATAAGGACAAGCTCCTAGGTATCAAACATTTCATGCATGGAGCAGCACCCTACTCAGCAAAAGCTGGTGAACGTCGAAGAACTACGGGAGCCGATGATTTTTGGAAGTGCATTGAATTTAAACAAAGTTTGCGCCCATACGTTGAGATGAGCCAGGAATCCGTACGAAGCCTTATGAGTAATTTTGGCTCTTCACTTTCTGGCATGATAAAAAGTCTATTTTACCTCCCTCAACTATAGCCTCAGCCCTCAGTATGATTCTCTTCCCTCAACCGTAAAACTAGATATATAGACTCCCCCAAACTCTTAAAACTAGTTCAATTTAACACCGTGGGTGGATTTGATAGTGGTTGTATCCTATGTGGCATTACAGTCAAGATAGAAAATAAAAAAAAAAATGTAGTGGGCCCTGCATGTCAGTGAAACCTCCACCTTTCCTCTCCCTTCCCATATTCCAATCCCAAGACGCTTCGGCTTCTTCACCAACGCATCACACTTCCTTTGCCCCACGAGCTCGCATGGGGCGAGAGTAGACGACGACGGCTCCACTCCAGCGGACGACAGGAAGAGGGTGGCGAGCATGGCCGCTGATGGATCTAGAGGGAAGGTGGAGAGGACGGAGGCGGCTCCGATAGGTCTATAGCTCCTATGGGGTGCAGCGGGTGGAGGCCTCTGTCTCGGACTCTCCACGGCACTAAGGTGGTGGTTCTCCTCCCTCTTGGCCTCCCCAGCCTTTCGCTTCCTCAACCACTCGCTAGTGTGAAGCTTGGGGGTACTTCATTGCCAACCGCCAACGAGAGGATGGCGCGATACAACTCGCGTCGGCAAATGAAGACGATGGTTGGGCACCATATGGCTGGGGCAATGTTACGAGGAGGATGATAGCACGGTCAAGGGACGGCGATGGCAGAGACCACCATATCTCCTTGACCTTGCGAGCGTGTCGATGCAAGAGGAAGTTTCCAAGGAAATGAGGGTGAGGGGTGGATAAGGTGGTAATGGATGGCAGTGAGACAAAGTTGAAAGCGGGGATAACAGTTGCGCTGGTGAGCGCTCCCCTCCGTCGCTACCGAGTCCTTGGATCTTTTACCTAGGCCTTGGGCCGCCGGTTGCCGCCTCGTTCGTCACTGATTAGAGTCACCCGGTGCCCTCACCCGTGCCACTGCCATCGCCACATCGTCCTTCTCCTCGCCTGAACCCCCTCACCTCCGAGCTCCCTATCAACGCCGAAGGGGTTTGCATGGCCTTACTTGTGCACAACACGATGCACTTGCGCACGATGACCACCTTTGTGAGCGCCGGTGCTAGTGCGTCCTTTGCGGCGGAGAAGAGGGAGGGAGATGTGCGGGAAGGAGAAAAGGACCAGACTTTTGGGTCCCACCAAATATTTTTTTTCCATATATCTCACTGAAATGTGGGCTTCACCTATAGGAACCACTTCCCAAACTAACGAAGGGGTCAATTAGCACCAGTTTTCAAAGATGGAGAAGGTGTTATACCTGGTTTTGCAGTGGAGGGAGGCAACTCTATCAAGGGTATAAGATGAGGGATATTTAATAGATTTATTCTTTCGGACAACGTTGGTAATTTCGGCCCATTCGATGTTTCAGCCTGGTTAGGCCCGAGGGCTAGCTCGTTGTCAGGTTCCATTGTTTGAAAATATCGTTATTGCTGTTCCATTTAATTGGCCGTGAATGTGGGGGCCTCGCAAGTTTCTGTCGGTTGTTCGTTTTTTTTATTTAAAAAAGAAAACATTTCGGTTTGGTGCCTTCTTTCGAAATTGGTTATTGCCGTTCTACGCGTGTAGGTCGGTAATGTACATAAAAAAAAGAGGTTTTTTATTAAATTCCATAAAACTACACATTTTATGGTTCAAATTGCAGAAAACCACGCACACTTTGACACTCAGCACTTAAGTACATATATTTTGGTAGTATAGTTTCACAAAACCATACTATCAATGAATGGATTCACCCGTGATATAACGTGGTTGTTTCACTTAGAACGAGGATGTGACATCCTATTACCAGCCATCGCACGAAATTAATAGGATGCCACGTCCTCATCCTAGGTGGAACAGCCAGGTCATCTCACAGATGAATCGATCCATTCATTAATAGTTTGGTTTTGTAAAACTACACTATCAAAATATATGTACTTAAGTGCCAAGTGTCAAAATGTATGTGGTTTTCTGCAACTTGGACTATAAAACGTGTAGTTTTGTAAAATTTACTCTTTTGTTCTAAACTGGATGGATGTCCCATTTAATTGACCGTTAATTTGGCAGCCTCGCCTGGGGCAATACGTTTTGATTGGTTGTTAAGTTTTACGTGTGTATAGGTAGGTGGTACATGCTCATAATAATAAAGAAGAGGGAGACTATAGAATGGTATACCGTTGCAATGTAACAGTTATTGTGTGCACTGATGTTAGCATGACGTCAACATGATATTGTAGATACCGGTGGATATGGTATCTTCGGTACCAAACACGATATCAAAACTTGAAAAAAATAACAAACCATCAATTTAACTAGCAAAATTGATTATTGTGTCAATCATACAAAAAAAACAAATGTACTGTACCAGTAAGACAACAGAGGCTTACCATCAGTCTCAATTCCACCTCCATATTGCATATCTCCAGGCCCATCCTGATCAAATGCTTCTATAAAACGAAAGCACAGCTAGTTCTTTCATGTACTTGTACAAATAGTCAATTTTGAATCTATAAGTAACACATACTCTAGGATTCAGACTATCTGTAACTAAACAAATATCTACACAAGGATTGCTTCTGAATTTTATTTATTAGTTCTTGCATTTATTAGAATCATTGATTGTCAACTATAGAGCTTAAAAACAGCCAACTATCAATTAGAGAAAATGAGATTTCAAAACTAGCCATCTAAACTTAGTTTTATATAGAAGTAAACTAGCCACATGCTCATCATCTGACATCATGTGGTAATTGAGCAGTAAACTAGCCATAAGTTAGTTAAGTTTTGATGGCTCAGTTCCAGGACTAAAGATATATCTTTAGTACGGTTAGTGTTACTAACCAGGACTAAAATTTTTTTCTTTTTATTTATTGTTTTTTTGCTGCTTGCATCTATTGATTTCAAGCCAAAATCACCAGTGTCGTCACCCCAAAATCATCCACAATCCATAAATTATTCAAAAATCACAAGCCCATCTACAAAACATCCACAATCCACAAATCCATTCACAATCCACAAATCATCCTCAAATCTAAAAAAATCTACAACAAAATCTAAAAACAAATTAGTCTAAGCCAGCAGATGGGGGAGAGGAGGAGGGCCTGCCTAGCCGCGCAGCTTCCACCGGGCCGCCCGTCGCCTCGTGCGCTTGCCGCCTCCCCTCCCGCCGGATCCGGCGGAGGGGATGGCACCGCTGTCCGCCGCCCGCCGCGGAGATGGGAGAGGGAGGAGGGGATCGGAGGACAGGGCAGGGGGAAGAGGAGTGGAGGTGGAGGAGGAGAAGAAGGCGAGAAGAGGGGAGGAGGAGAAGGGGATAAGGCGTGCGGACAGCTACCGATGCCAAGATAAGGAAGAGAGAGAGAGAGCGACGTGGGAGAAAGATATTTAAGTACCGGTTGGTGATACCAACCGGGATTAAAGACACGATTTTTAGTCCCGGTTGATAACTCCAACCAGACTAAAGTTCGTTGGGGGCTTAACAACGGTTGAAACGACTAAAGATCAAAAAGTAGTGCTGGGTTTTTAACTGGGACTTAAAAATATTCTTTAGTCCCTGTTCCTATTTAAATCGGGACTAATATCATTTTTGTCATTCAGACAAAGATTAGTTCTCCAGTAGTGGATGATCCTGCAGTGCCGTCTTGCTGCCCGAATGAAATACGATGAGCAAATATGGAACGGAGAGAGTATTATACAATGATAACTAGATAAGTTAGGCCGGCTTAAATTTTCCCATGCACGTACTCAACTTTTAAGTTTTAACCAAATTTCAGACATCCAGAATTTCACCCACACACTAACCAGATAAGAAAAAACCACCTAAAAATCCACAATCCTTTTTCTCTCTACTCGAATCCACTTCCTTTCCAGGATAGAGGATTCACATAACCCCCATCTCTACACCAAACGGATCTTCCGTGGCCGTCCGATCAGCTCAATCGTGCGGCTGGGGAATCGGCAGGTGCTTGTAGCTGGTGAAGCCGCCGTCCACCACCAGGTTGTGCCCGGACACGTACTTGGCGTCGTCGGAGGCGAGGTACGCCGCCGCCCTCGCCACGTCCTCCGCCTCGCACGCCGCGCCCCTCAGCTCGCCGAGCCCCCTCACCACCGCTGCCACCCGCGCCTCGTCGGCGCCGCCGAGCATCTGCGCGAACTGCGCCACCACCATCGGCGTCGCCACGGCGAACGGCGAGACGCAGTTGACGCGGACGCCGTGGCGCGACAGCTCGGCGGCGGCGGCCCTGACGGCGCCCGCCACGGCGAACTTGGACACCGAGTACGGGTACGTGCCGAGCCCGCCCATGACGCCGCTGACGCTCGCCGTGCACAGGATGGACCCCGACCCGCGCGGGCGCATCACGCGCGCCGCGTGCTTGATCCCGGCGAGCGTCCCGCGCAGGTTCACGGCTATGACGGCGTCGAGCGCGGCCAGGTCCAGCGACGCCACCTCCGTGGCGCCGGCGAGCGGGCCCGCCACGCCGGCGTTGTTGAACATCACGTCGAGGCGCCCGTGGCTCGCCACGGCGCCGTCCACGGCGGCGGCCACGCTGCCCTCGTCGGCGACGTCGCAGCGCACGAAGTGGGCGCGCGGGCCGAGCTCGGCGGCAGCCTCGGCGCCCAGGTCGGAGTTCACGTCGGCGATGAAGACGGCGGCGGCGCCCTCGCGGATGAACTCGCGGGCCGTCGCCTTCCCGAGCCCGCTTGCTCCCCCGGTTATTATTGCAATTTTCCCCTCGAGCCTGCGCGAAATTCGGTTTCCAACTGTCAGAATTGGCCTCCAATGAAATTCGCAAGATTTATGGGGGTTTGACTGAAAAGTGTTCGACACTGTACTCCCTAGCTACAGGATGGTTAAAGTCAAACAGCGTAATATTTGCATTACCAAATTAGTTTTATTAAATTAATAATTAAATATATTTTTATAATAAATTCATCTTGGATAAAAATATTTCTATTTTTTTTATAAACTTGATTAAATTTGAAGTAGTTTAATTTTGATCAAATCAAAACATCTTATAATCTAAAATGGAGGGAGTAAGGGGAAAAATTGCAAAATAGAGGAGGGAAAAGCCAGATATTCTTAAAGTTAAAATGGAGTTAAAATTGTGTGCAGGTAAACATGCAGCTAGGCCAATAAAATACAAGTAAATCACTAAATTTGCAACAGAAAAATAAACAGTGCCCTGACACTGAAATTTTAGAGATTGTATAACAGAATGAGAAACAAAAGATGAAATATTCAGCTAAGATAGTGAAGAAAAGAAAAATAAAAAGTAGAAAAAAAATTACATAGGACGAAGCCATGGATCTGTCATCCTATCAAGCAACAAACATGTCGACCAAAAAAAAAATCTTAGATGCCTGACAGAAGAATAAAATGCATACTATAATTGCTTATAGATCGTGAATCCCGGGTTCATGCATAACTTAGGCCGAGTTTAGTTCTAAACTTTTTCTTTAAACTTTTAACTTTTTCATCACAACAAAACTTTTCTACACACATAAACTTCTAACTTTTACATTACATCGTTTCAATTTCAATTTTGGTGTAAACTAAACATACCCTTAATAGGAAAAAATAAGATTACAGTAAAAAAAAAGGAAAAAATAAGATTTATTTTTTTAAAAAAAAACAGGATTCCAGCTGCTATTGGCAAAGGCTGTGACAGGTGACAGCACTGTGGCTGGCTTGCTCTTTGGGAACAGCAGTGCACACTGTGCAACAGTGCAAGTACTAGTACTGTTCTTGGAAGCTGCCGAGCTTCCAACTCATGGCCCCCACACACAAATGACATTATCTATCTATATCTGCCTGTCTGTTAATCACATGACCAGCTAATGACAGCATCATGACCAGCAGCATTTAAATTAGCAGGTGGAAAATGGATCAATGAAATCGATCTGAATCTGACACCCTGGAGAGATCTCTTGGTCGCAGGATAATTACAAAAAGTTTCTGCATGGTCTTCTCTTCTCTTTACACATGTGCTAGAGCTAAGCTAAGCTAATTAAGCTAAGCTGCTACCAAGATGGGCCCCTTAACTGAAGAACAGTGGTGCAGTAAGAGGGTTAGTGTCATCTCTTAATTACCTTCCCTTGGTCGGCGCCGCCGCCGCCGCCGACAGCCACCGCTCGCCGCCGGCAGCTCCGGTGGCCGCCCTCCTCCTGGCATCCAAACACAAGTGAGAAAAAGCGAGTCAAATGCTCCTCACAAGTAATTAAGTTAGGTACTCCTAGGTAGCTTAATTACTTCAGCAAGTGAGAAATTAAGCTAGCCAAAAGAAAGAAAGACAATGCCACACCGCAAAGATGATAAAAGAAGCTAGCTAGAGGACGATGAACTGATCACTGAAATGCATGACAGCAAGTCAACAAATTAAGACGAAACTTGCACACCCAACAACATCTGAACATAATATAGGGCTAAGACATATAATTAAGCACATGATTAACCGTACCTAGCTTCGGCGCCGACGAGCCGGAGCATCATCATCTCGACACACACTTCTCTTCTTTCTCGCAGGTTCTTGTGAAATGTGTGTATGTTTGAGAGAGAGAGGGGAGAGAGAGAGGAGAGAGAGAGAGAGAGAGAGAGAGAGAGAGAGAGATGAGGTGGTGTGGCTACAAAAGTCAGTCGTTCGTGTGAGTGTTTGTGTGAAGGCCGGAGATGGTGGTCAGTGTGGGGGCTGCTTAAATAAAAACGAGGGCCTCTCATCTCTCAACCCTGTTCAACCAACTACCTTTATTTAATATACTAGGAGTATAGTAAGCCAATTTGCTGATGATGTATGTAAGTTCCTATGCTACATGCTCAAGTTCATTAAGGATCATAGTATATGAAAAAAAAATCCATACTATATGTATATAAATATCCTTTAACCCCCCCTCCATTTACGAAAATGGCTTTTCGGGGTCCTCTTCATAGTTTGACTAGTATTTTCTCTATATTTTAATGTATCACGTCATTGACTTTTTGGCAAACGTTTGATTATTTATATGTAATTATCATTTATTTTATTGTGACTTGATTTATCATTAAATATTTTTTAAGCATGACATGAATATTTGTATATTTGTACAAAATTTTTGAATAAGAAAAATGGTCAAACGTTAGTAAAAACTAAACGGCGTCATACATACATTGTATTAATACAGGGGGAGTAATATTTGATTTACTAGCTGAATTGTCACATAATCAAATTAAGGTCAAATTGGGGATTGAGGATTGTGGATACGTTAATGATAGAGGGTGCTGGTGGTAGATTCACTGTCATTACCACTGCCAACAAAGTAGTATATATAGTTAGCTTCATCGTTTGCTATTTAGCTTATTAGCCGAAACCAAAATTTAAATTTTAAAACATAACTTAAAACCTTAATCAAAAGTTGGTTTTTAAGTCGCTAAGAATATACGTAAAGAAAATTTTCCCATAAATTATATTTTTCGTTAATAAGCATGACATGGCTTATAATCAACTTCAGATGAAACGATTGGTACAATTTTTGAACTAATAGTTGCATTGTTATAAAACATATATTTCATTTGCATTTTATAGAGCCAGCTTGGTACAGTTTTATTTCCTTGAAATGTCTTATGAGCTATATACATATATATATATATATATATATATATATATCCCATCCAGTGTGAAGAGGTGATATGATGCCGTGAGATGGATATTATTGAACCGGCAATCTGAGAGTACAAATGTCCCCGATTGCTATCATGCATGCATCCATGTTAGTTGGACCATCTATATATTGACAGAGATGCATGCATCCATAATGCAACAGTTAACTGATTGGAGTTTTGGACTGTAAATAATCTAGCTAACATGATATCTTACGTACGTCATGCATGCATGTTTTTTCTCAATTAATTTGTGTCCCGAGTTCCCATATATGATTAAGTTTTGCAAATATCCGACCATAAAACCACGTGGATTTTAGCCAGTTTTCATATAGAGTTACGAAAGTCATTAGTTTTCTTTTTTCCGGTTTTCACTTGGTTATCGGTAAATTGATAGGGACTGGTACGTTTTCACCTCGAAACGGTAACGCAAACCCTGCCTACACTTGTGGGTTTGTTTCTAATATTCTCTCTATTTTTTAATATATGATGTCATTGATATTTTAATATACGTTTGATCATTAATTCCATATATTCAAAACATTTATGTAATTATTCTTTATTTTATTTTGACTTGATTTATCGTCAAATGTTCTTTAAGCATGACTTAAAAACATTTTATATTTGCAAAAAAATTGAACATAACAAATGATCAAACATTTGTTAAAAAATCAACGGCACCGTATATTAAAAAACGGAGGTAGTATCGTATTATCTTGTGGATTTGTTTTCCTTGAGGATTCAAGATTGACATGTACTATGCACGGCTTGTTAATTAATCACGAGATTTTTCTGTTCTGGAGTTCTTACTATATATCCCGGCCTAACCAATTCGAGAAACTATGTTCCAACAGAAATAAAATAAAAAAAGTAATCGTGTGCATATAATATATGCGTAAATTTGCAATGTACTCCAAGGATTAATAACTAATGGTACGAGTACTATATGTACTATAATCATAAATATTATGTAAACATAGTAACAAACTAAAAGCCTACTATATTTTTGGTCAAAAAGGAAGGGAAAAGAACCAAGGAAATATATATTGTACACAATTGCATATTTAGTACCATTTTTTTATATTGTACACTCTGGATAAAACTTGCATTTTTTTTTGGTCAAAAAGGAAGGAAATTAAAGCTGTATATACAATATTGCATACTACATATGTACCAATATACTCCATCCTTCCCTAAATGTATGTTTGACGCCGTTGACTTTTTTAAACATGTTTGACCGTTCGTCTTATTCACAAATTTTTGTGAAATGTGTAAAACTATGTGTATACATAAAAGTATATTTAACAATAAAACAAATGATAGGAAAAAAATTAATAATTACTTAAATTTTTTGAATAAGACGAACGGTCAAACATTTTTAAAAAAGTCAACAGCGTCAAACATTTTGGGATGAAGGGAGTATAACTAATTGTACACTCTGGATGTTCCTTAATGCTTTTCAGGTACCTTAATCTGCTCGATCGCCAGTTGTACGAGTCCCCAAACTCTTTATATTATTGTTCAGACATTTTAGAGACATGGGGATGTCAACAACTTTGGGAAACATTCAGGTAATACAGTATATATAGACGCTGAGATAAAGGAATATAATGCTCCAACTACTTTACAAAACAAGCTAGCTAGCTAGCTACTGATTTTTGAGTGTAGCAGGTGGGATGTGGCCAATTAATGTATTCGAACGACAGAATATATGGAAATATGGAATGCACTTGACACTGTTAATTATTGAAGAAACATGCAGTACTAGAAAAATCGTTTCTCTATGCGATCAAAAATATTTTTTTTAGGCGGGAGAAAGGACCGCCTGTAAGTAAAGACCTGCGAAAATACATGATTTTTGCAGGCAGCCCAACGGCCCTCATTTCGCAGGCGGTAAATCCATCATTGCCGACGCCGATTGTTCTGGCCGTTGCCATCGCCGCTGTCCCCCTTTGGTCACAGCGGCGATGTGATTTTTTTATCAAATGCCAGATAGACGGTCTCAAATTGAAGATTCGTGTAAATCCTTAGAACCGTAACCCCTCCTTTTGTTCCCTCCTAGCCACGGCACGATGCCAACTTCGAGCCCGACTCCTCCGCCGCCAATGCGCCCCCTAGCGCACCGTCACCTGGACTTGTTGGCTGGCCGCAAGACATCATCGGTGACATCGAGTTCTTTCCAATTGGCCTCCTTCCCTCCCCCTTACCCCCTCTCCTCGTCTTTTAATTAGCTGGCTGTGGAGAGCTGCCCTCGTCATGCCATCTTCCCTGTCTCGGTGGTGAGGTGCCCCCACTAGGGCTGGAAACAAGCCGAGCCAAGCCAGGCTCAGCTCGGCTTGCAATGGCTCACAACAAGGTAGGCTTGGCTTGGCTCGGCTCGGTTAGGGAAACGAGCTAAAACATGAGCTCGGCTCGGCTCGTTTCCTGCTCGAGCCAGCTCGAGCTGGCTTGCGAGCCTTCTGTTGAAGCTATATAATTTGTAATCATTAAGGAAAACAATAACAAATTATCAACATGTAAAATTAAAATAACTTTATATATTCAATTCATTAGAATATAGATAATAAATTACATATTGACAAATAATAACTCTACTAGAAAATAAAATCATCTATATAAATACATGATGGCCTAGGCTCACGAGCCAAATCAAGCGGCTCGCGAGCTAGCTCGGGCTCGGCTCGTTTCAGGAACGAGCTGAAAAGGAGGCTTGGGCTTAGCTCGTTTGGCATTCAAGCCGAGCTGAGCTAAGCGAGCTCGAGCCAAGCCCGAGCTGAGCTCACGAGCCCAAGCTTTTTTTCCACCCCTATCCCCCACCACCCTGCTTCCTATCCTCAGATCCACCATTAGCAGCTACTATCTTCTAAGCAGAAGCTTGCTTTGCCCCCACCATCAATGCTGGCCCACCGCCCTCCTTCATCCCCACGGCTTTGATAGCACTGTAGGCACCTTGCTGCCCACCCGTGTCCACCAACATCAATTAGGCCACCGCCTCCTACAGTCCTCTAAGCCCAACGATCTCCCCCCTCCCCCCTCTTTCCCCTCTCCCCCACCCGACCTCCTACCCCTACCCTAACTTCATTGCCATTTGTTCTGATAGTCGGAGCTGGAGGAGGAGGAGTTGGGGTCGCCGAAGCACAAATTGCGAATCAAACCTAATATCAGAAATCTATAAGAAATCTCCCTAAAATTTTTCTCAAATGTGATTTAGCAATTGAGTGTGTGTGTGTGTGTGTATGTGTATGTGTGTGTGTGTGTCTATATATATATATATATATATATATATATATATATATATATATATATATATATATATATTTCATAAGTGGTAAAACGAGATTACTGTTCAATACTGTTCACTTCGAGAGATATTTTAACTTTAGGATCTTTGCAGGGTGGCGAATCCTACTTAGACAGCCTCAGAAGCTTGTTTCAGATGATGTAAAGTCCTACTCGGTACTCACCGTATGCCTCACCTATCTGTCTTTTTAGAAGCAACTTAAAAAGATATTCCAAGTCACACTTGTTCTAGCTAAGAGTTTATCGTCTCCCTGAGATATATGAAACATTATTTTGATATGGGATAAAAGTAATTCCTTGCTCTTGTATTACTGTGGTTTGTATTTATACTTCAGACTCAAGATTAGGTACTTCTAAGTTGTCGAGTTTAGGGGAGGTTCCACCACGCTTTCGTACCTCTGAGATATATGGAACATTATTTTGATATGGGATAAAAGTAATTCCTTGCTCATGTATTACTGTGGTTTGTACTGATTGTTGAAGGAACCTTAGGCCAATTATCATGTCATCATTAATCATTGACAAATCTCTTATTGTAATCTCATCTATTATATATTTAGTTGCGTTAATGTAAACCTCAATATTATAAGCTAACTGATTATGAATTTTCTTTATTCCGGACATGTCTGTGGAAACTTCTGCCTTATTGTCGTCAATTGTGTGAACTATTTCAGGACATCTTATGAAATATTTGTCATGAATAATATTCTTTGTACACCCGGTGTCTACTAGTGCTAATATTTTATAAGATACTTTGGGTG